TGACCAGCAGGTGGTTTCTGGTCATTAACAAAACCCCAGAACTAGTGGTGTCTTTTGGAAGCATCAAAAGGTGGAGCTCACGAAGCACTAGATGCCTTGGGTTTGCTCAAAATGTGTTGAGAAGTTATTCGCAGATGGCGCTACGGTTTTACATGAATTAAAGTGTTACTCTGTTCGCTAATTTCAGCTCTTCTTAGCACGTTAGAAACCCAACTAATTGCCCCCGATGAAGGTGGTAAAATAGTAACAATATTTTAAAAAATGCCCCGCACGCATTATCACGACAAGGAAATTGTGGTTGTGCTGAGATTTTTTTTTTTATGTGGTTAAAGTCGTCGCCTTAGTAGCGAGGACATACTGGAGGTAAACGAACATAAAAAAATCTTATAACTTAAAAATGCTTTCAAATGAAGCTAGCAATTATAGTCACTGAGATCTTGGGAAGGGAAGGGCGTGGTTAATTTTGTTCCTGCTTTCTTGCTACGTGATTGGTCCTTCGACGTTCTTATTGGCGGATGCAACAATCCCATTGACTGCGGGTCAATCACCACAGGACTCGCCACGCCCTACCTTTCCCAGCCTGTCAGTGACTAGGCAAGGTTGTGTGCTCTGTAACGTTTTATAATGTAAAACGGCTGATTGGCCACTTGGCCGTTTTCTGTCCGTCAGTCCGTCCCTCCGTGCATTTCCCGCTAAATCTAGCGGGGAAAGTGGCGTCACATAGCCTATACACCTTGCGGAGATTGACGGCACGTGACATATACGTCAACTTAGTTTCCAAGCTAAATTTAGCGGAAAAAAATTCACGTATTGTGTACAAAAACAACAATTCACTTTCTCTGCTAAATTTAACAGGAAAGTGGCGTCACGTGACCTATGCCCTGATTCAGTTACCCGGAAAATTTAGCGGGAAAATTCTCGTCTCGTTATCCAGCCACAAATCAAGGTCATATGATACATTTCATGTATTGTAGAACTTCGAAGGTCAAAGGCCGTTTCCAGTTTTTCACTTTTATATACGTTTTTTTGTTTACTCTCGTCTCCGTCACTCGGTAGACGTATCTGGCGTGGGTGACGAATTAAAGATTAAAACATTTCAACCTTAAAAGTAAAAAAATAAAAAAATAAAAAATAAAAAATGAATAAATGATACAGGGGTGAGGCAAAGTGTTTTCTATTCACGTGCTGACGACAAAGCAATGTTTTCGCTCATACTGCAATGAGAGATAGGAGCACATTGGGGGGGGGGGGGGGGGGGGGGAAATGTATGACTAGGCCATAACGTTTCCGGTGTTTATTTACAGAAGAAAAACAATCGGCGGATGTTTGTTTGGTGTTTAATTCGTCAAATATTCATGTATATCGGTGATTTGTTTCGGACGCACTCTTGAAACGGTGTATATTTGGTGGAAAAAAAATGTAGTGAAAAACGTAAAATTTATGTGTAAAAGGAAACGGTTTTTGTGGAAAACAAATGACTCTACTAGCTGAAGCATAAAGGTTTTACACACGCGTCTTTTTTTTCGGTTTTAACTAATTTTGTATTTTGACAAAAACTTTTTAATCTGTGTTTTTTTTAATTTTGTGCTTTTGACACCGACGGATGTTCTTCTCATTTTTCAATTACAACAGGAAAGCATACGGCCTAGCCATAACCCCGAAAGAATTCCACAAAGAATGTTAGGCTGCTCGTGACACTAGGAATTAAGGGTTACTGCTGACTTAATAAAACGCGCACTCAGTAAGCGTCTTTCGTAAGAGTTACCTGCTACACAATAACTCTTTCGCGACTTTGAGCTGTCGTGGCTGCATTGCTTGGTTGTCATGGTATATCGCACTCCTATCGACCTATGCCCCTACAATATAATCAAATGTGAGGCTCATTAACATAATAAGGCTTGCCTACACTGGAAGAATTTACGTGGAGACGCAAAAAGAAAGTTACCTTTACAACCAAGCGACATAACAGTTTTATTTTCATTTTGCCTCGCAGATGCATGTCGACGTAAGCCCCATGAAAAAAAGTCAAACGTTTTCTTATGCTGTACAATGTAAACAGGGCTTAATACGAAACACACTTCTTGCGGCGTGCCCACTTGCCCAAAGAGGTACGCTAAGCTTCATCTGATATCGCAGACGACAAGTGTCTGTTGGTCTGTTTTCATGTTACTTTTAATTACAAGTAAAAACCCGTATACGTTCGTCTTGTGTACCGGGCCCTCGTCCTCTTGAATGTCTAATCAAAGGTGGTCCACTCTGAGAAGCCTTCCGCGTTGTTCGTCACGGTAACCTTACACCATAGCTTAGGATACCTTCTGGAAGCTAGTTCTCGGATTATTTTGACAACAACAGACGCTTAATCGGTAACAGATTACGAAGAGAGAAAACAAAAACACGTTTGACAGTGCATATTGTCTGGAAGTGAACAAAAGTTGGCAACTGTGACCGGAAGGGGGGTGCGACAGGAAGTGCATGCTGTTTTCTACAGAGTTGAAGTGCAATCTCCCCATTATCACCTACAGTTTGCAAACAACTAAGTTTTGATTCACGATCGGTTCTTCATCTAACTTTACTCGGCAAGAGAGCTCGCGAATTCACGAATGGGAAATAACAAGTGCCAAAAGGTCGGAATTTCGTAGTAAATAAGCTCCATGCATGAGCGGCACATATCTCAGAGTAATTTTGTGGTTGATTTTGTCTAAACGTGAAGATTTTGAGACCTTATACCGCTGCACAGGGCACTTCACTAAAAGTGCACAACGTACTGGCGTACCCGCGCACCGCCAGCAGCTACGACTCAGTCTGGCTTACACGTGCTCTTTCAGAATGTGGGAACGACATGCCAACCGGACGAGGCCAAACCAAATTGGTAAGCCTACACATTTTCTATACGTTGATTCACCGCAGGCACAGAGGCAGGACGAACGCCGGCACATTGCACTTTTGGCGATGAGGGATCGGCTCGTAGCCTCGGCGGCGCTCTGACCTGATGTGAAACATAAAATCGTTGTTTATGCAAGTGAGGCCTGCTGTGTTGTAAAAATAATAACTGCCGCACACTCCTTTCTTTAAACTGCAGCAGACTATGGCTGATGAAACCCTATTACAGTTTTACCAGTCATCTTTCTGATTGAAAGTAGAAAGGTTGCAAGACATCTTGACTACAGGTAAAATACGTAGGCCATAGGATAAAAACCAAACCCACAAAACGCGCGAAATATTTTACATTGTACTTGTTAACCTGATTGCGTTCGCTTTTTGTAAGCTCGCGTGTTGTTGCTTCCGCACCACAGACTGACAGGTCGTCCGGTCCCGAAATGCGGTATACTATCGTGTGTTTGTGTACCGCAACTCGCTGGCGCAATAGTCTACGAGAGTGAAAAAGAACAGTAAAAATAAGGTTAACTAAAAGAGAAAGAGTGATAACAAAAAAACTATAGAAGATAGGAAATGAAGAGGAAAAGAAGATAAGGAGATATTAAACATCAGCTTCTAGATAACAAAAGCCATACTGCAGGACTTGTTAGGACACCTGCCGGATGCCCGCATAGAGCAAATATTTGGCGCGAGTGTAACGTCAGCGTTTGGCTGGAACTTGCGGTCATTCAATAAAAAGAGCAGCAAAGACACCTAAGACTGCTTACGTGTAGGAAGGCGAAAGCATTCGTGCACACAGCGCATGGCTACAAGCAGCGCGCCACGTCTTCCTGTCGCAGACGGCGCTCCGGCTGTGACGTCACGCTCCCCCACTGCGCAGGCGTGGCGAACGCCGCCGGCTTCACGACAGTTTCCGTGACAAAGCATCTGCGTTGCTGTGCTTTTCTCTGTGTTTGATATCTGACGAGCCCTCTTTGACATTGAGCGCACTCGCCAGCTCTTGTGACGAGTAATATGCGTTGCTGCGCTTTTGTGTGTGTTTTATTTCTGAGGCGCGTGCTTGATGACCAATTTTTATGACCATCTTTCGGGGACAACGCCGCCACTTTTTCGCGTAATGGGACAACTAAGGATTTCGCCTTAAATAAACGCTGAAGCAGCACTCGCGCACTGGCCTACAGGAGATGACGTAAAAAATCGAGCACCGCGGATTGGTTATCTATGAGATGTTGGATAAAACGAGGCAGGGAAAAAGAAGGAATAAAGAACAGGGAATAGGGTGGGGAGGTACCAGGCCTGATTTCATCGTCAGCCCGGGGCCCTCGGAGATACCTAATCCATAATTCGGGAATTAAGGAAAGTGGCTATACGACTACTGCTCTCTCTCGCTCCTGCTTTTCTACGGCGCTTTTCATACGCAGGTAAGAAAGAGGTACACCGTTCGTCTCGCGAGGAGAAACGAAGGTGGAATCGGGTTGGTTCAGGTTCCCTATCTGCTTCCTTTCGGCACTCCGCAGTCTCGCTCGCCTTTGTGCTTGCATTTCCACAACAATGGGTTTCACATACACTCGCTTTGGGTCAGCTAGAGTTCCTGTATAGGCTCCCTACGGGAGCCAGAGTTGCGCGTTCATCCCCGTAGCGCCGTCTTTCCTGCACGGCATGTTGATCCTGCTCCTCACGTGACTGAATTCGGCGAATAGCGGCGCCGCGCGTTCAAGGCGCGTGGCGCGCTCAAAAGCAGGGGAACGTACTGTCGGGGCGCGTGCAACGTCTACTTTCCTGCACGGCATTTGATCCGGATCCTCACGTGATCGGAACTCGGCGAATAGCGGCGCGGCGGCACGTGGAAAACAGACGCGCAACTCTGGCTCCCGTAGGGAGCCTATACAGGAACTCTAGGGTCACCAAGCCTCTCGCTCTTGACAAATAATGAGTTAGTTCACCTACATCCTGAGCAATCGTCGGCAAATGAACAAACACCCGGTATGCGTATATGGCTGGCTGCCTCAAAAAACCGAGCGGCCATTATGTGTGCCGTGCGACCGCTTCCCGTGATTCTGGAATTATCGAAAAGGGCGCATTGAGAGCGCTCCATCCAAGCGGCGGCCGTGGCGGCCTGGTCCTTATTTGAGGGTCTGCTTGAAGAAGTCGTCGTGCGGGAGCTGAACGAACTCTTCCGGAAGGTCAGCGGGAGCCCAGTTGGACAGGTCGGTGTCCGGCAGGTCCTTGCAGTTGAGCAGTGGATTCCTAAGGAAAAACATAAAATAGCGTTGGAATATTGCCCCTGACAAATAGCGGTAGACGAGTGTAATAAGCGTTTAGCATGGCCTGCTTGTGGACTGAACATCAGAAACAAGTACCATACAGCCTGTGACGGCGACGGAAGGGCGACAAATCCGAAGTAGCGGGCTAAATAATTGGGGTTGTGTGGGTATTCATACAGCCTGTAGGTGGTCAGCCATTTCAAAGTTGCGACGAGTCACTCGCTGTACATGAGCAATTTAGCCAGTGCAGTACAACCGCGGGCCTGCTGTCTGATACGCGACCGCGCGCCGGTACGATGCTCATCCAGATCGAAACGCTCAGGGGTGGGGATTGAGCCCAGGATCCCTGGGTTCTGGAGCACGAGCTTTCGCTCCACGTGCTCCGAGCTGATGTGCGCTAGACTACTCGGCCACCGATCCCCATACCTTCGGGCTACCTCTGTTTTTGTCTACGTGCTATGTTCCGGAAGCTTCTACGCCAGAACGGTCGATAACAGCCAAGAAACAAAAAAAGTGAAACTTTCGTGAAGAGCAAATATTGTGAAAATAATGAACTGGGGCGGCGGAAAAGTGATGCTGCCGCGTGCTCTGCCAACTCCGCCGGCACCTGGAAACGCACGTGGTTAGTGTCTCGCCCATAACAAGGGCAATCTGAATAGAAACTCAGAGAATGCTCCCTAAAAACAAAACAGCTGCAAAGCAAACTTTCGCTCAAAGTGGTGTCGAGCTGCGATAAACCGAGCAGCGATAAACCGAGGCAAAACAACAACAACAACAACATTAAATTCAAAGTTCGAAGTCAACTCGTCGACTTGTCATGCTCCTAAGGTTGAAGAACACTTCAGAAATGGATCTGTATCATCAACCATGAGATCAGAGCGGAAGCGGAACTGTGAGGTTCACTTACGAGGAGTTGAGCTCGGTTCAACTTTTCACACAGCACCGTTTTCTTACGTTACGTTTAAGTCACCGAAACATTAGTGTCTCGAATGTCGTGTACCAGGCCATCTCCTTGAATTGGGTGCCAGGCTTAATACGAAGCACAGATTTCCCGGTGACTGTTCGTAACGTAACTTAAGAAAACGGGTCTGTGTGAACCAGCCTTGAGTCATGACCTAATCGTATTAACGGCGAGATGTTTTGCTGGCGCCCTCCTATGGTTCCCTCTCTTGACGTCATTACCTCGCGAACAACAAGTGCGATGGTGTTTGTGATGAGCAGGGTGGAAGCTTGAAATCATTGCACTCTGAAACCAACACTGGCAACACCGTCAAAATTTAAGTTCTTCCATTCCTCTCATTTCCGTCGAAGAGAAACCCTTTGCTGACGTCATAGTCAGCCTCTCGGCCAATCGTGGACGGCCGATCACAGCGACGCTTTCGATCGCGCACGTCGCCAATAGACGCTTTCAGGCTGCTGTGCATGGGCGCCGCCATAACCGACCTTCAGCTTTTGTTTCCTATTATTCCGTTCACTTTACTTTATCATTACCACAGCAGGACAGGTTATTGCCATTGTAAGTTTTACTGTGTCCTTCCCCTCGGCATAGGCCTTTGTGGAGGCTCGTGAACCCTCGCTTCAGTGGTTTGGCATCTCGGTAAGTCAAGAGAAGGTCGGCTATGGCGGCTCAATTTGACGCGCGCTGAAAGCGTCTATAGTCGGGGTCACACTGCTGATGCGTCATACAAAAGACAGCCTGCATATAGATTCGAACGCGAGTCATCGCGAGATCTGTGCTTTGAATGCCGCACGGCAATGAGTTCAAGGAGGAAGCTTGGCACACAGCATTCGAACCGAGGATATTGCAGTGACTTGTTGGTGGAGACTGTATTTTGTATGATGCATAAGCAGTGTGACTCCGGCCTTAGGGTCTACGATCATTAGTGGATCAAGCCGGTGGTGCGTTGATTCCCTAGTGATTACGTCTGGGGAGGAATGGCGCACGCCCTTGTTTTGAAAATGGCTCATTCGACGAAGATGACGTCATAAATTCAGTGCGCAGGCCTTGTTTTCTAGGTATGGTGGTGTTGTGTTAAACCTGGATCTGGATGCGAATCTGTTCTTGGCAATCCGCTTGGCATGTTTTTTTATCAATAACCTCAATCGTACTCGTAGCACTCGTGTTTTTCTTGCCCATTTTACTTGACCATTTTAGCTGGCCAATGACCTATTCTGATTAATGATGCGATTAACTACATCCAACTATATTTCGCAAACTCGCCCTCATATTGTAATATAGATACGTAGAACTGCGCGATATCAAGTGGCAATCGCCTGCTTGGTGAATACTTTTTTTTTTTTTTGCTCCTCTTCTGGTTTCGCGCTTTGACCGCGTTCTGACTAGGATAAAACTTTGCAACGGTGTAATTGACTTTCTTCCCGGGGGCGTCCGCGCAAGCGCAAAGCGACTGCCTCGTCGCCACTAACAATCGCTCCGGGGTGCAAAACCTTCGCCTGCGCGCGCTTCTAGAAACTGGACCACCTTTCAGATGGAAGTAGAATTCTGCCGGGGGCTACGTTTACACGACGGCCACGTAGACGTATGCGGCGTACATTCGGCTTTCTAGGCCAAGTGGCGTGGAGCTCAATGCTTAGCCAACTTGGTTTATAAGTGAAACAACTTGTCGGCAACGTATATGAGGACGACTTTCTTTGGTGATGCCACCAAAGCTCTAGCACTATAGCACAGGTGCACTCCTACGCCTACACCAAAGCTATTTTGACGTGCCTCTTCACATTTAGTTAAATCCCATATAATGTTCACGTACTTGACAAACATGTATTCGCGCATCAGGTCGGCGACGTTGAGGTGCTATACAGTTCTCAAGATGCGCAGAGAAGGTAACACCATTATATGTCACTTTGAAGATACCTGCTCCAGTTTTTCGCCTGTCAACTTCTCGAGAAAAAAAAAAAAGAGGTCGGTATGGGAACGTAATAACCTTGACCGAGGTAAAACGTTTCCTGAGAGCAAAGTTTGTTTTCTGCCTAGGAATTTAGGACCGTAAAACTCCATAAGAAACCAAGGTGGAGGCAAACTTGACCTTTTCTGGCCGGAGCCTGGGTATCTTGGCCCTAACAGGTCAAAAAAGTGGCAAAATTAGGCTTCACTTCCGGGTCATTCCATGCCAAAGGAGATGCGGCAATTTGATTTTTTCATATCTGGGATATGTACCAAGAATTAATTTGGATAAAGACGTCTCTGAACTCCAAGAAAATATATTTTGTGCGAAATTAAGTTTTATGTTTGCTTATATCATGCTCTAAATTTCTGAAACTTGCTTAAAACCCACGCAATTAAAAAAAAAAAACTGTAAAAAAAAGTTCGAGTACCAGTCAAATTTAGGTGGGTGCCTAATTACTTAATAATATGCCCAGTCTCAAACACAAAAATACAAAAAGTGGAAGACGCTTTTTTGGGTCCAAAAAGAAGCTCTAGAAAGAAGGGACTTTATGAAATTTCCTTTTTTTTTTTTGTTCAACTTGGATTTAAGTGTTAACTACAGTACTCTTTTTGTTTGTTCTTATAGAACTGATCATTGAATTGCATGGTGATAAATGTTCAGTGTCGTTTCGTTGCGTTTGAATTAAATGACAGTCGCCAACTTATGCAGACACGGCCATATTGAGAGTCAGAAAATGCAATGTGGGGAACGGGTGCCGGGAATTTTTCAAAATAGTGCAAGTTCAATCCATCTCATCCGTTTATTATATCGCTTTCTTTTTCTTTCCTCTGGGCAGGGGTGGGTTCAAAAATACTCCAGTATAGGAGGTTCACTTTTTCTGTGTTGTTGCGAGTTGAAAGAGGAAGTGTCCGTCGTCCCTTTGTCTTAAGTGTGTTATTTTTTCTGTCGTCCTTGTCTTTTAAAGTGTCGGCGAACCAGCGTACGCCTATAAGCGCGAGATCATGAGCTCATTCGCCGATTCTTTATAACAGTTGTTCTCAAGGCCTTTAATGTGTCCATCTGACAGGGGATTTAGAGTGAAATGAACTATAGCACAAAATACTCTATACTTTGTCTCATCGTACGATGGACTAAAGGCCAAAGCCACGGGCCGCCAGGTCCAATCACGTTCCACGCTATACTATGACCCGCAATTAACACTGATTAGGGGTGGACGAATAATGCTCGAATCCAAAAGCGCCGCATCATTTCTATAGCTGCGACGCTGCAGAGAGCCTTTATGTTGTGCTTTTTTGCGACGTAAAATTGTGGAGTCACTCAGTGCTCTTCGATTCGAAGCACTGTCCACCCGTCCCCTCATCAGTGATTGGAGACGCGGGCACCGATACGATTATCGAAGCGAAATACCGCACAATTTCTAGGTAGATCGTGATTGGATCTGGCGGTTCGTAGCTTTGGCCTTTAGTCCATCGTAGGCTGAGACAAAGTATAATAAGCAAAACCGTCAACGTTGTTAATATAAAGCCTGCACCTTTCTATTGGTTGGGGGAAATAAAGCGCCGGATATTCCGGCTTGCCCTAGTACACTCCAAAAATAGTCTGTGCGTCTACTTTCACGCACAACACTCGGAGAGCCAATCAGCACAACTTGTGGAGGCAGCTCAGCGAATGACAATGCCGAAACATATGTTTAGACCAAAAAACGCAGTCTGAGTTGTGACATTAAGCAATGCAAAACGTCACGCTTGCATTGCTTAATGTCACAACTCAGACTGCGTTTTTGGTCTAAACATATGTTTCGGCATCGTCATTCGCTGAGCTGCCTCCATAAGTTGTGCTGATTGACTCTCCAAGTGTTGTGCGTCAAAGTAGACGCACAGACTTTTTTTTAGAGTGTACACTCTAAAAAACGTCTGTGCGTCTACGTTCACGCACAACACTTGGAGAACCAATCAGCGCAACTTACGGAGGCAGCTCAGCGAATGACGATGCCCCGAAACATCTGTTTAGACCAAAAAACGCAGACTGAGTTGTGAAATTAAGCAATGCAAGCATGACGTTTTGCATTGCTTAATGTAACAACTCAGACTGCGTTTTTTGGTCTAAAGATATGTTTTGGCATAGAAATTTCCTGAGCTGCCTCCGTAAGCTTTGCTGATTGGCTCTCCGAGTGTTGTAAGTGAAAGTAGATGCACAGACTTTTTTTAGAGCGCTGATTATGTGAATAACGACGCAGCATAGAATTTTGAATATGAATCAACCTTGATGTAAGTTGAGAACAGGTAAAAAGCACTCAAATTTACAAATTTTTACTTCAGCTGCATGAGGCAAAGGGGTTCGTTGATACTCGTCAGCAAGAATGACCTCGTTTGATTTTTACAGTAGTCTCTGCGGCGACAAACGAACACTCGCTAGGTGCTGGGGTGGCCGGGATACGTGTAACCTTCTGCATTTGTCTGCGAGTTACAAATCTCGCCCCTAGAGTTTATTTTAGGTTAAAATTTCACCTAAAGTTTGTCCTTTATACAAGTAGACCTATCCACGTCTGCTTGGAGAACGCGTTTACTTTTTTCTTTTTCGTTCGTAAAAATTTAACCCTTGAACGGGTTAAAGAATTTAATAACGATAAAAGCATTAATTGTCTAATCAGTAGGTTCATCGATCAATTGCCCAGCACTACTAATTATCCTTTTCATCTGTCGAATTAAAATATATGCAGGTGCATCTTAGATTAGCTTAATGCTATTTTAGCAAGACGCGCACGTTCTAAAAACCGAAGCACCACTTCTTCCTTTGACAACAAAACATTTTTATGAACTATTTTGCGCAGGGCCCGTGAAATGCTAAAAACTTTCTTTTTTTTTTCTCCATGTGACAACGAGTATAAAGTAAGCACGTTTCTTCTGAAATCTGGTAAAAAAAAAAAGGAACGTGCGTAGTCACTATTTGAGCGGGTAACAAGTAACGAGTGCCCATAGTTACTTTGCTTTAGTCGCCGATGGCTTAAGAACGTGGGACGGGGAAACTCTCGAGTTTCTTAACATTGCTCTGCAACCACTGCAACATTAGCCTATAAGAACGGCGAAGAAGTAATCACTAAGCTGGAATTAGAAATATAGGAAGCCACGCCTCAAATTTCTTAAGTCGTCGGTGTCTATAATAGTTACGTGCTGAGTCCAACGTACGATCGTGGATCCGGTTGGATGAGCGCCAGGGGCTGCACGAAGAATCGGTCCGGGTCGTCAGCGTTGGCACAGAACAGCTTGGCAATGCTGAACTTGGCTATTTCCGAGATTTGGGCTGAGCACAAAGAAGCGAAGGGGAACACCAGTTAGAAGGAACTGCAACTCATTTTCACGGTAGAGCTATATCAGGGCCGTTTATGCTGAGGAGGTTCGGCCTTCTTAAAAAAATTTTGACAGCCTGGCAAGCGCAGCAGTGTAGTCTGACATCCCGGGGTCGTCTACTTCCCTCCGCCATTTTGGGGCTTTGACTCATAGGAACTCTGTGCGATTTCTCAGGAATAAAGACGGCAAAGAAGTAACGCTATTTCGTGTTATCGCGAAATTCACTGGTTTTAGCGGGCAACAAGCTCCGCCCATTGGCTGAACTCTCTCAGTATAGACGGCTCTGATCTAAAGTAAACCAGCGTGCCACCTACAGCTTCAAGTTGCTTTAAAGGGGCGATGCAACAATTCTTGAAATTGGCGCAAATACCGCTTTGAACGAATCACTGGCGTTGATAACCTGTGAAACTCTCGTTCGTTTTTTTTTTTCTCAGAAGAAGAAATGAAAACTCAAAAGAAATGAAAAAAAAAAAAAAAAACGAGCAGCGTTTATTCTCTTAATTTGCAGCCAGAACGAGCAACCACGTGATCTAGAATCGATTATATGCAGCTAGTGCCACTAAAGAAGCTAGGCTTATTTAATGGCACTAGCGCAGCACATGTAGTTGTTCTATATGCAGCCAATGGTAATCATAGCCACACGTTGAGGTTGGCAAAGCATATAACACGCGCCGGGTTCCAGACATTGTTATGGTTCGGCTATTGTCGTAATTGCAGCGATTGGACACTGGCCACTACCCGAATGCTTCTTGAGATATCAATTATGACGAGCCCAAACTGAGTGCTCACGCAGGGCTCGGGCCCAACCTATGAGCCGCATTCAACTATCGTCACCGGAGGTACTGCGATCCCCCAGCTACGACATCAAATTAAAAAAAAAAAAAAAAAGATTTTGTTTTGGAAAAGACACTGCAACAAATTAGTCAGTTTGTGGCGTTGCGTGCGGGTAGACTTCGGTCCCACTAGTGTAAGCTCGTGTAAAGTGAAAAAACATTCCAAGCGAATATCGTTGCACGGCTCCTCTAAAGGGATGCCGAACCGAAATCTGGATTCCACAAAGCAAGGCGACAAAAGCGTGCAACGAGATGCTACAAGCATCAAAACATCACTCATACCACGATATATCGAACGAATGACCGTATTTTTCAAAAAAAAGGAGTCGCATTTGACAGATATGTTCACGTTTTGTTTCTCCGAGAAGGAGAGGGAACGGCCTCGCGTCTTCTCCGCCTTGCTACCTTGAGGGGGGCGAAACGAAGAGAGGAGGAAAAGAGATATCTTGACGTCACGCGCCTCGTCGACTTCATTCCCCCCCCCCCCCCCCCCCCCCAATCTCGAACTTTTTTTTTCCAAAAATACGGCCGTCGATTTGAGATATCGTCTTACGAATAGTTTTATAGGGATTGTAGCGTCCCGCCTACAGCTCCTGCATTGTTTTCTGAAATCCAAAGTTCTGTTCAGCATCCTTTAAGCCATTAGTTCTCGAATGAAGGTCCGCGGGTCCTTTGGGGTCCGCGAATAAACTCTAGGGGTCTGCAAAACCCTGCCTCGTTAATCAAGCCCGGCAATAAAAGCTTTTTTTTTTTTTTCCATATCGAGCAGAAATGTTTTAGTTTTGGGTCGAATTTTCCCGTGTGTATGTCAATAAGAAAGGTCTACTTTACAATAGCTCTTTGTTAAATGCATTTAATAAATCATTATTTTATTTAACCTATACCTTTCCCCTCCCCTCACCACGAACGGGGTCCTCCATTATCTCGACCGATCCACAAGGGGCCCGGGAAACATCAAAGGTTGAGAACCACTGCTTTGAAGGGGCACTCAAGTGGTTTTTGGGGAAGCTACTTTTTGGTGCGATGGCGTTAAGGAAGCGTCAATGAATGAGTTCCTTCAGTTTAAAAGGCAGAACCGCCTATTAATCACGCAGGAATAAAATACGTGCGGACTCTTTTCTGTTCCTGCGCCGGCCAATGAAATTATCGTATCTTTGAAAATTTTGGCGGCCTTTGTGAAGTTTCCCTAAAGAAACAAATTTCAGTTCATTTAGATATGTTGTGCATGATAATTTCATAAGACGTAAAATAGTTCTAGTTTAGAATACGCGATACTGCAATTATCGTTTCACAAACAAGGGACTCGGTTTCTCCTTGCCTTCCTCCGCGGGGGGTGAATTTCTCGTTCCCTTGGGATGCGCGAAAGCGAACGTATCATGAGCTCTTTCCCTCCGGGTTTTCGGGAAGCGCGTTCGTCTCTCCCCGTCCTCCCGAGGCGAAAGTCAACGCGGTGACATCGTTTGACATCACGTACCAGAGGTTACGCTGCGATGCAAAACGTTTGTTTGGTTACGGCTTGCCCCAATCGCAAATCGAGGAACGTCCGAAAAGTTCTGCGTTTCGTCGAAATATGAACCTCGGAGAAGCGCGTGGATACGTCGCGCTGGCCGCCAAGACGACACGCAGAACTTGCCCACGACGTCCCGTTTTTGTCACAAACACTTCGACCAAAGTGAGTTCTTCTACGCGGAGGACACGGGTCGTCTTCGTCTTCGTCCTCGGACATGACCGCCTGCTCGTTCTCGGAACCCGAAAAGGACCCCGAAGCGCTGCTATCGTCCACATCGCACGTCGGAATGGCGTCATAGGAAATTATCCCCAGGTCGGCCGTCCGCCGAAGAATTTCAACCTCTAACGGCATAAGGTCCTCGAGCGTAGAGACCTCCGCCATGATCGAAGCTCGAAAAAGCCTCCAATGACAAAAAGGTTCGGCCGGTGCGGCTACCTCGGGATCACTGCGCGACGGAACGTCGTCCAACGCCATTGGCCCGGAGATCATTTTGATATGCGAGCGGTGACCAATGAGAGTGGTTTCGTTTTTGGATGGATCCGAGGTTTGGAGGCCTTCAATTACATTTTTATTAAATAAATAATCACCGTATGACTATGTTTTTTTGGTTTTTAGGGATACTTAGGGCGTCTAAATTCAGTTGTCATCATCAAAACACGAACTCAAAAACCACTTGAGTCTCCTTTAAGATAATGAGGCAGTGCAGCAATATGCTTCGAATTGAATATGTTAATCACTCTACGCAAGTATGTGACACGAGTGTACCATTAAAATATCTGATTGCAAGGCCACTGAGGCAGATTATTTTATTGTTCGGTAATTTGAGTGATAGAAGCGGACTACTTTTTTCTGTTGCTCTTTTGCAAATCTTGGGTGGTCTTGTGCATAATGACGTTGACCTAGTTGATTTGATCAGGTCGTGGTGGCGACAGTGGAATGCGGTTCATCGATTAAATACCTCGACTAAATGGGCACCATCAGTGTTATTTATGTTGCGAGAGTTCGGTAAACTTTCGGAGGTGGTGGCAGTTTAGTAACTGCGGCCGGGAGTCTGTCAACCGGGAATCGGTTGTTTGCGTGAGCCATGGGACCTTGTTTTGATGTTGTACCATGGCCATCTCTAGACCAGATAACAAGCCAAGTTTTGTTATCGCGAGGATCTTCACAGTTCGCGGATAGAAACAATATCAAGTTTTAGTTTAGTTTAGACGAACGCTGTTCAGTGCGGGCGTTGTGGGCACTCTTCCAAACCCTGTTTCAAAGTGGCGATATGGGCTCTGCTACCAACGCATTAATGGCGCTAATAGTCTGACAGTAATATAAATAAATAAATAAATAAATAAATAAAAACACAAAACTGCGATTTGCCAGGAGACCGAACAAGTCGTGTGGACTGGATTCTTCACGTAATCTTTTTCGATCGAACACGGGCCACTGAATGAACGTGAGCCGGAACACACAAAAATTAATTATGTAGTTGCTTTGCCCATGAATTTAGTTCTCAACTTAGCCGCTAAGGACGCATCTTTTTCCCAGAACAGAAAACCCGGATTCATGCTCCTGTCCAATCTCGGCTTGGATAGGAATGCGGAGCGCCAGTTTGTCTGCTTCTTACTCAGGTTTTGCGATGATGTCAGAACGCCAAACTCTTATTGGCTCATTAAAAAAAAAAAAATATTGGGTAGATTCACTTAGCGTTAAGGTCTACCCACTATCCTTCAAATCAAAGCCAATCAGAACTCGGCGTCGTTTCTGACGTCACCGCAGCGCCTGCGCAAGAAGCAGACGACTTGCTCTCACCATAGACCCCCTTCGAGAGTGTGCCCCCTGGTGGGAGCTGCGGAATCCCTGCACAATGGCGGACACAAAAGACACCGCCAGCGTTGGAACCTTGGAAACTCTAATAATGACACTTCGTTTCTAGCTTATGTAGTTTTTGATTCTCACATTCTGTGGTGTCTCTTGTTCCTCCATTGTGCAGTGCTTCAGACAGTTTAGCAATGATCACGTGACTTGTGAACGGAGTGTACTGCCGCGCTCTTACAATAAATCTTGAGAATAGGAGGTTCCTACGCTTTGGGTCCCCAACCAACTTACAGCCTTGCACTGCGCATGCGCAAAACAAAAAGCGCATTGGCTGTGCGGCGCCTTAAGCTGTTCGTGGGGCCCAAAGCGTATGAGCCTCCTATTCCAGAACTTTCTAATATACGGAGCTCGGCACCTGCCCTGCTCTTTTAAAGTCACTGGATCCTCTCCATTCTCGGTAAGCCGATCGAAATTCGGTGGTGGCGGGTAGCTTTATACACACGTTTCTTTTATACCGAGATTTTGCTATCTTCACACCGGCGAAACATGTGCACATCTTCGTATCGCCACTGCATGCCACGTCGGTGCTTGGTGGCGTTGAAAAATAATTCGCCTGTCTCGAAATACGCACAAACAACAACACGAATGTAAGATATCCGTGGAGATGTGCATTATTACGATGTGGATTGCTTGCACAATGCCAAAGACGCTTATAATGGCCAGGAAGGCTTTCGGTAGGATAATGCTGCACGGCGATCTTGGCGTGACTAGGGTGCCTTCATGTGCGCTTTGCTTAGGGTGGTGGCATCTCGCCATTTTGTCACACACTTTTATTTTTATTTTTTTTTTCAGAAGCGCATGAAAGAGCGTGTCCCTGCGCGTGCTTGTGGCGCTGACTGTGCTATGGCGACATTTTGTTTTCGTCAATTTCTTTGTATTTTCCCCGTGAGCGCGTGCTGTCGGCATCAGCTACTACAAAGGGTGGCATCACCCTAAACAGAAGGACATTGAGGCACCCTAGGCGTGACTGGTTCAGAACGACCATTTCTAAGCTTTGAAGATTGAAAGGAACCCACATGGCGATTGCCATGGAAACTGAGACCGATGAACCAATCGCTTTGCGACGTTTGATCGTCTTTATGTTAGTATCTGTTTACGACTGACTTGCAGGCAGGGAAGGCATTTGCGCTACTTTCCTAGGATCCAGTGTCTTTAGCTAATTCCTGTGCGTGGGCATGAACACTGACTGCATAAGACCGCCAAGAGATAGCGTGGCAGCGTGTTCTGGCTGCCATTTTTTTGTTGTTGTCTCCGTTTTGTGGCGGCGAAGTCAAAACTTTCGGCACCTGTTTCTGCACGAGCCTTAATTCTGAGCTCTTTTACCAAATATTGTTTGTTCGCGGTAGGTTATTTTCTGACTTCTTCCGAGTTTCACGGAAGGGCTTCATTCCATTCTGCATAAGATCGGGTATTTTTTACGTATCGAGTTAAGTAAGCAACACGGAACCCGCAAGTGCTGACTTCCAATCTGTTCCAAATAGTCTAAGGAAAAAAAATCTTGCGCTCGCGTAAAATTTTTTTTTTTTTTTTGGGGGGGGGGGGGAGCTTTTTATTATTTTTGCTTGTTCTCCCATATTTGCGTGTGGGGCGTTCTTTTGTTTGGAACAGTACAGAGCGTACGTAAAGGTAGCTGTATTAAACTTTAATTGCTCAAGGAAAGTGCCCCGAAAGCTTGAGATCGTAGAAGTGTGCAAAGAGGCCGTACCATCGCTCAGTGGGTTGACGTTTGGTCCCTTGTCGTGCGTGTAGAAGTACCGGTCACCATACTTGAGGCTGCGGAACTGTCGACCGATGATGCACGCGAATGTCGGCCCGACCAGGGCTCTCGACTCAGCAGGATACTCCATCAGTCCCGCCGTCCACAGGTCCACGTCGTCGGGATGCCTGGATTCCCCAAGATCATGGTCACATCAGAAACACCGGGATTTGTTTGTCATGCCATTATATCGTGCTTAAAAAAACACCTTTACATGTAGCTATATTAGACCATTTCATTGCCACTACAGGAAATATTACTTCCATTTGGTTGGTAAGGAAGAATCACCCGTGTTCTCTTCGAGTTCTTCACTTCAAGACATTGACTAAGTGTTCTGCTGCTGCACAACATGCAACACCATGATGAAAGCGATGAGGGTACTGGTACAACTAGGAAAATAAAACAAAAAAAAAAAAAACACAAAAAACACTGTTTCAACTTTTTTGGGTTTTGGACAACTTCTGAATATAGACATAAAGACACGAAAGCACAGAAGAATTATTTTAATAATACTTGTCTATTTTATATTCTCTAATCTTTCCTGTAAACATTTGTGCCTGGTTTAGTTTTGTTTTGTAATATTCGCTTTGCCTCTTATTTTGTCTAGTTCCTAACCTTCTTTTATTCGCGAAGAAGAAAAATTAGTACAAAGAGCAGGTTGACCTCTCCATGTTTTTAAATAAGCAAGTGCCCCTTTCCCTAGACCGCCTCCATTTCTGCAATAATGCTCAAATGAATTCACCTGGCTGGTACAAGACATGAGTGTAATTAGAACGTTCTAAATCGATACGATTAATCCCAGCGTTTTTGGTTTTACGGAAGTATATGTTTATGTGTGCATATGATAAGGAATTCGTCGTCTCCCAGCGAGTTTTCTTAAGCTTGGGGAATTCGTCCCTCTCATGTTCACTCCGACCGATAAACTAACGACAACTTCTGATTTTAAATCAAACCGTATCAATGCACTGTAGACACGATAAGGCTAGCAATATAATCCAATTTTATGATCTCAAAAGAGAAGGAATCGAGTGACATAAAAAGAAGGTCCGCCTAATAATCCACTTATATACGCTGTGACAGATTTGTGTACACTCTAAAAAACGTCTGTGCGTCTACTTTCACGCACAACACTCGGAGAACCAATCAGTGCAACTTACGGAGGCAGCTCAGCGAAAGACAATGCCGAAACATCTGTTTAGACCAAAAAACGCAGACTGAGGAGTGACATTAAGCAATGTAAGCGTAACGATTTGCATTGCTTAATGTAACAACTCAGACTGCGTTTTTTGGTCTAAACATATGTTTCGGCATCGTCATTCGCTGAGCTGACTCTGTAAGTTGCGCTGATTGGCTCTTTAAGTGTTGTGCGTGAAAGTAGACGCAACGACTTTTTTTAGAGTTTAGCTCCGAGATGGTTGGCAAATAATCTCCTCAATGAAGATGCGTTCTGAAAAATCAAACGTAAAAAAAAAAGAAAAAAAAAAAACATTTTTCTCAGTTAGATATCGCTTCACTGCGAATGGAACAGAATTGGATATTTTATGCTTACAGGTAATATTCTGTCAGAATCCCTTAAATTAGCCAATCAGGTTCACCAAAATTTACCTGTATAGGTTACGCATTAAATGAACGAAGATAATGTGATGACGTAGGTAATTAAAGTTAAAGTCGCGATCTAAAAAAATATGCCTATTCGTCCGTCTACATTTGCGTGACGATGTTTGCGTGCGTTGACTTACAGTTTGCCGGAGCTGTTGCTATATCACCGACTGAAGCAATCAGGCATAAAGAATGCGCCAAGATCCTGCGCTTTTTCCACGCGTGATTGCTTCGGCCGGTGACAGCCAACCCACAAAGACAACGAGAGTCGCGACGATGCACTTTTCATGCAGCTTGATCGTCTCCTTCGAACCGCAGCGTCGGGTATGGTCGGACTTAGAAGTGAAACGGAGATTTGTGAAGACTGTCTACGCAAAAGTAACGCAGGTGTCATTCAAAATTATCCTCATCTCACACCAAAGGAAGCAGTAGTTGGTGGGAAGGGAAGGGTGAGGCGCCGAACAATTAACGGCTTCGCGTGAGGTCATGTGACACCGGAGTGGAACTGGATTAGCCGCGAGTTCGCTCAATAATGGCGGCGTGGAGCCGAAGGAGGAGGGAGGAGCTGAGAGAAGGGAAAAACATGCGTCTCCCTCCATGAATTCCATGATTCATGAGATGAATCGCGTCACTTTTTTGTGGACAGAGGATTTAATTAAGCGCGTGTAACTCGGATACAAAAAAGAAATATTATTATACGGTCCTGAGGTCATTCGATACATTTATTTCCAAAGGTGATGATTTTTCGCGCCTTGCTGTGAAATGAGCTATGTCCTGGCCACATCTTGAGGATCCGTTTATATACCCTTTCGTATGGCACAGACAGAAAAGGCTTATAGATACGATTTAGAAATTAATTATTAATACGAGAGCAGGTGCTACTGGCATTACAAGAAGTGTCGGTTATTGTTTCGACGATGAAACTGCCCACTGCGCAGAAGCCTCCTTCAATACTGATAATAGTTTTGATAACATTGCTAAGCTGCTTCTTCCCGATATCCTTATCTTTTCTCCTCAGCCTATAGGTCCACTAGTCTTGAACATCGATTCAAATTCAGAATTGATCCCTGTGGCACCAATGCCCACCTCGACTGCTTCATAAGCAAAACTTCATCCGAATGGATCAGACTTCCTGGCACCGTGATATCCGTGTTTCGAATGCCGCGTGCCAAGTTTCTCCTTGATCTCGTTGCCATGGGGCATTCTAAGCACGGAGCTTATGATGACTTACGTTTGAATCTGTTTGCAGACTGTCCATGGTATGATGTATAAACGCTTTAAACATACGCCAGACTAAGCCTCCATAGCCGACCTTCTCTTGTTTTACCAAGATCCCTAACCACTGAAGCGAGCGTTTACGAGCCACTACAGAGGCCTATGCTGGGGAGAAGGACAGAGTAACACCTCAAGTGGTAATAATCTTTCCTGCTCTGGTAATTATGAAGTGAAGCGAACAGAATAACAGGAAACAAAAACTGAAGGCCGCTTATGGCGGCGCCCGTGCACAGCTGCCTGAAAGCGTCTATACACGATTGGGAGTCGGGCATCTGGCCGCCGCCATGTCTCTGCTCGTGCGGGCAAGTGCATGCGATTACAAGGGTGATCCAAATGTTACCCAAATGGATCCGAGTTACTCCGGTGGGTCGTGCCACGTGACAACACAAATAGAAAAACGCTGCACGCGGGTAGGTTTCCGAACGCCAAGGTACAAACCCTTACCCTGGAGTAAGAGAGTAAATTTTGGAACACAGCCAAGCTTTTCAAAAGCTGAGTTCACGCGCACGCTGCGCATGCTTGTGCGCACGGGACACCAGTGAGGCGCCATGCTTGCAATAGTCTATAAACAGCGTGACTCCGGCTTTAAGGTTCATACCATCAGTCCATCTGATTTGAACAGCGATAACCAATCATTTTTCATTGATCCTCGACCGCCGGTGTATTTACAAAATTTTTGTACCATACCTTTCTTTCTTATATCCCATTAATTTATCTTTGTTTTTGCCCCCCACCCCTTCTGTGATTCCTCCGGGCCCTGAGAATAATAAAATAAATGAGAAAAAAAATGAGACTTTTACAACGGCTTGTAACGCTGTAACACCGAATTGGAGCGCAGCTCTTGAGGGGGAGGAGGGAAGGCTACTGAGGGGAGGGTATACCCCTCTTCCCTCCTCCTTCCTGCTACTCCTCCTCCCCTCCTCTCTCCTGCTCGCTCTTCCCCCTCCCTCCTCTCCTCCTCCTTCTTCCCCTCCCATCGTCCTCCTCCCCCTTCCTCCTCCTACTCCTCCCCGCGAGGTGCAGCATGGGGAATGTCCCAAAATGCACCGCGCAGGACCCTCGTGACGTCACACGTGACGTCAGGGGGGTCCCGCGCGGTGAATTATGGGACATTTCCCATGATGCACCGCGCGGTTACGTCGACGGTGACGCTGTCAAGCCGGAAATGGGCGCCTAGGAGCTGCGCTCTAAAACAGCTCGTGCGCAGTTGCAGCATATCACTGGCCGGGTATCACCTCACGTCGCACTGCTCACATATTATGCATAAGACACTGTGTTTGCTGCAGACAGGATGAAAGAATCATCGAGGAACGAGCCTCAAGCATGTTTGAAGCATGCTTACTTTATAAATATCCATGCTTAGAAGGTGACCCTCCTTTGTACGATGCATTAGCAGCGTGTCCTCGCTGCAGTCTCCAAAGCGATTCCTTTACAATGTCATTCGTCTCTGAAACTCGCCCCCAATCCCCTCCCCCAAGAAACCTCGAGCTATTGCCGAATAAATGGGAGTCTTACTCGTAGATGCTTTGCAGAAGCTGGATCCTTTCTGGCGGCACGAGTCCCTTGAGTTGTTCGAAAGAGTGCACCTCTCGGCCGAGGCATCGCCGGAGCCAGAAGCCGTATCCGGGAATGCCGTGGTCTCGACCCCGCTGCACGTTCACCGATGCAAGATCCAGGCCGGCCTGGCTGGTCGAGTTCCGGTACAGGTGTTGCCGCACGGAGTCGTCCAGGGCGGGACCCAGGCCGCGGCCCGGCTGCAGGCACAGTCCTCGATGGAACTGCTCCACGGTGCCCTATAGCAGAAGGCAAGAAAAAAAGGAAAAAAGTTTTAGTATTGCGCACGCTGGCAAACGGAAGCACTGTGCGTCTGCGTGATCGTTGCGTGTTCCACACCGCGCGTACGCGGAACCCAAACTACGTCTTGGCTTGGCACATGCATGCGACGACGCGCATGTGCGGCGTAGAATACGCGACGCTAACGCAAACGCAGAACGTTTGCGTTTGTTTCTTGATGCAATGCAAAAGCTCCTTTGTCAGTATAAATGGCTGGTATTGACTTTGCATTGGGCGCCTTTAACTTACACGAGAAATTTCTAACCACAATCCTATGACCCGAACAAGGTCTTTTTGTTTCACTGTCCAGAAAACTATCAATTATTCGCATATACCAGTCACGCTTCTATACGCGGCGTGTATTGACGTCACAACAGGGGTCATTGTAATGGCCCTATAGCTGAACACGCGCCTTCCGTAGGATTCACTGCGCGAAAGTGAATGATCACCAGCATAGTGTAAAAACGTCACGGGCAAGTCACGTATAAAATGCTTGGCATATGATGTCACCGCCCCATCCAGGTGGTCATTCCTATTTGTTTTTGACGAGGAGAACGAATATGGGTGTGCGAAATGAATAATACAGAATGTACGGAACGTGCTAAGCACCAAAGTCACCACAATGGCGATTGAGGTGAGGCCGATGCAAGTTATATGTATACAAAAAGGGGCGACTAGAAACCTGTCAATGAAGGCTGTGGGACCGCTGAAAGACGCTGGACAGAAAATTATTAGCTTCATTCATGAAACGAATGAACATTCTTTCGTATTACTAACACATTGTCCGAGCAAATTGAAGGCCGCGCAATTACTTGTCGGAATAGCAGAAACATGTCGGCACAGAGGTGGGAAGCCAGTTTATTTTTTAATCGTTTTTTATTAGAGAAAAAAAAGCGCGCTTTCTATACAGCGTCGAAGTGTTCTAAAATGCGTCTTTGGCATTTGAAAGCGCAATAAGGGGCGCGCCAATCAGAGGGCAGCTCGCCCCGTCAATGGTGGAGGTCGGAGTGAAACAAACGCACGTAAGCGCGTGTAAAAAATGAGCAAAACAAAAAAAAAAAAACAAAAAAAAACGCACGACGAGCACGAGGAACAGAAAAACTTGCATCCTGTATTAATTTGTGTGCTCTGTTTATAATTTCTGGAGCGACGATATCTTGCCTTTGAGAATATGCAAATCACACAAGTTTAATACTCTACATGATGACCATGAAGCGGAATTTATGGCATTTTGAATTCCTTATACTCTAAAAATGCTTTATCATTCTTTTTTCGGCTCTTGGGTTGCATTTCTTTGCTTTCGTTGCTTCCAATGCTACCCGGTGTGGCACTAATAAAACCAACAAAGCCTACATTATTGACAAGAAAACGTCATACAGGAATATATATATATATATATATATATATATATATATTTTGTGGCTCTAAAGTTTGTTGCAACATTATATCTGCAGAGGAAGGTACGGCATAAAAATAGGGTGAACCAAAACTGGTTTCTTTGCAGCGCTCAAATCTAAGGCAGGAAGCCCTTTTTCCGGTACTTAAAACAAAACACATAGTGTCCCCCCCTCCCCCTCCCCCCAAAAAAAAAGATAAAAAAAGAAAGATAAATAAAAAAAGTACAGAGTTATTATTTTTTCTTTTTAAATAATAAATTACGCTGTGCCGAACGCTTATTCTCCGCCCAAGGGTAGCGCTAAAGTTCCGAACCGGATTCCAAAGTTTTAGCCCGAGCCGATATCGTATTCAAAAGTTACGAGCGATTTTCCAAAAATAACAATTGGAAAGTGGCGACCGACGAAGCGCCAGAAACATAAAACGGTCGAAAATGGGCCCCGCCCTCCGGAACGTTTAGAAAATCACCTACAACTCTCGAATAAAATATCCACTTTGGCCTGAAACTTTGCCATCTGGTTCGCACCTCCATACTTGGTTTCCGCTTAGGTCCGAGCGTGGCCATTGTTATGAGCCGAAAAAGCGCAACGGTATGTCGTCCTTCGCTCTTGATGGGACGAATCGGCGCAGGAGCACTCACAGAAGGACGGCGAACCCCGCTGGTCCTCTCAATTGCGGAGAGCACGCCATGACGGCGTGCCTTTCTCGCCGTTAGATTGGCCCTTCGGCTCATAACGGCGGCAACGCGCTCGGTCGGACCTGAGCTCAAACAAAGTATAGCGCAACCTTTGGGCGAAGATTAAGTGCTCGGCAGTGCGTAGTCTTTTTTTTTTTTTTTTTTCTGCGATGTGTTACCGCTTTGTGGACATCCCGAACAAGCCACATGATTACTCAATCTCACAGTTCGTGAGACAGAAAACAGTGACGAACGGGTGATGAGACTGCAGCTGCGCAGTATGCTTTATTTACAGGACCACCTGTTCGGGGTTATATTCCTCCAGTAAAGATCTGGAGGAATATACCAGGAAGGCTGTCTAGCAAAAACTCAAGTGCTCGCGCCCGCCTTTTATATGTGCATACATACATGTATGTCCGTATAAAAATACGAACGGGCGGCAAAAATATATATTAGTATATCGACATAACAATAGTAAAAATAAAATAAAAAAAGTCGGGTTTACAGTAGCGGAGGTGGCAGCGACGGGCTTCTCGCTGCCACTTCCGCGTTAACGTGCGTTGAAATTAACGAGACTACTTAATCGATTAAATAAATAATTAAAGAGTGGCGATTTATCGGATTAAAAGTTTTAACCGACGCCCAGCCCTACTAATAACTCCCCTGTCTAATGCCTCGGGTCCTAAGGTCATACGAAATCAATAAACAAAAAATCCCAGGGCTCGTAAGCACATCTTACGAGTGTTGAATGCGGAAGCATGGCGGTCGTTCTTCGCGCCGCGGCCGCTTTAGATACTCTCGGTGCCGCGGCCGCTTCTGATGCTCTTGGCGCCCGCGGCCGTTTCTACTTCTCTCGGCGGGGGACACAGCGCCATATGGAGTGTGGGGTGGCGTTCCTTGGAACTATGCCGCGCGCCACCCAATGGGAGCTTATCCATCAGTTCGCTGCCACAGACTACAGGCTTCGCTCCAGAGGCATCCTGCGTTGCCCAGGAGGCGCTGCGAAAAATGACTTGTTAGGACTTGTTTTGGGGTGGTACAAACTTGTGCGGCTCAAACTGCCACACATATAGAAGCGTGCCTGCTCTGGCACGAAGCATGATAACAAGAAAAATAGAAAAAAAAGAAAAATGCTGACTAACGCTAGCACAGGCCAAAGCTAGGACGATAAGAGCGTGAACCAAGAAACGCCGTATCACGCGTCCCAAAGAAGCATGGAGGGGAGGAAAAAAAGAAGAACGACGTCGGGACGGCCAGATGTTCTAACATCACCACTTAGAGATACGAGACGCGTACCCTAGCGGTGGTGGCATGAATCCGGAACTTTCGACTGTCGTGAGGCGTTGAATGTGGCCGATTTCGGACGCCCAAAGGTGTTTTTTCCGTTCTTCTGCACTACACAAAAGGAAAAAAATCACAGCGAAGGCTCCACAATAGTGGGAGTCCCAGCCAGGTGAGCTTGTACTACCCAAAACGAGGGCGCCACAGCTTGTTCAAAGCTTCAGCGCAGGAGGCCAGGTGCCGTTTGGCGCGGCTTCAAAAGCTGATAACGCCGGTTCGCTCTATGGGACAGTTAATACATTCGCATTAATAAACGCGCCCTTCGCTACGCTGTTCTAGTTGCCGGTGAACAATCACCTTGTTGTAGAATTCCTGCACGTTGAAGAAGCGGTCGGAGAGAGAATACGGGGCCACGCCTCCGTGATGGTCCACGAGGCTGAAGTCGTCGATGAGGCCGTGTCCGAAGCGGTACGCGGCCGTCGTGAACTCCACCATGATGCGGGGGTCACGCTTGGGTTCGTACTTGCTGCGCCACACGCCGGTCGGGTGCAGCTCCATGCCGGAGCTCAGACCCAGGGCTGCGCTGTGCAGGGGTCCCAGCATCATGGGGATGAACTCCGAGTAGATCATGTGCTGGTGCTGGGCGATTAGGATGCGCCTGTAAAGGGGGAGTCGTAAAAAGGGTACCGTGTTTTCGGTAGATATCGATAAACCCCGAAGATTAACCTCCTATTCGGTTTCATTAAAACCGGGGAAAATCGAGAGACCCCGAATTCAAACTGCCCTTGAAAATATATGTAAAAAAAAAAAAAGTTTTTTTTTTATAAACAATGCTTCTATCTACGGCGATATTTCGTGTTAACGCGGAACGAATTAACAACCGAACTACATACGACGCTGCGTCTTTGTTCACAACCATACCCGTCATTACGTTTAATTTACACCTGTGTTCAAAATCTTCAGGTACGCGCATTTTACATGGAGGTTGAGAAATCCCCTGCCCGTGTACTAAGCTTTTGAACATGAGCACCAATTAACGCCTATGTTTTTTGACCGAAACAAGAAATTGACGTCTAAGAACAACGAACCTATGAAAAAAATACCCTTTCCCCCATAAGAAAAAGAAAACATTCCCGAATGTAAAGAAAAATAAGCCGTCAAAACAAGAAAGCCTAGTCATAAACAAAACAACAGTATGCTGAACGCCGTCAAGAATGTAAACCTGGATAACGTGGCCAGCCTTCTGTTTAGCCCTCCTTGTTAATATTCCAAATGACCCACATTTAAAACCATTGTTACGGATGGAATAAAATTGGTTGTTTGTGTAAAATGCGAACAGATGAAAATGATTGGATCGCGATAAAGGCTGGTACAACTGTGACCGAGTACGTTGTGATCTATTGTGAGCGCATTCGACGAGACAGCGTGGATATGGTGCCTGGAACGCGTCTCCGACTGGCGTGTTTACCGCGGCCTGGTATTTTTGTTATTAGAAAACATAGAGATAAGACGGTAAGGGAAATTATAGAGGCAGACCTGATAAAAAACTACGGGGATCGATGTGTCAGCGTGGCGTCGATCGATTTGGGCGACAAAGAGACACAGTTCTTGCGATCAGTGGTGTGGCTGGGGATTGATTGAATGGCGCGATGATGCAGAGTATTTATACCCTTGATTTTCTGACGATTAAACCGGTTGAAGTTAGCGCATTGTGTTGTCTCGTTCCTACTCGTCGTCCCTGTCATGAAGCGCTATTATGTTCTCCAAGTTTCAGTACCAACTCGCCCAACAATCCGCGTTACTCATAAAAGTGGTCCCTCGATTTCCGACTGATGACGTCATAGAAGTGTCATGCGGTCGCCGGTTGCGCCCCTGGCGGCGTCCCGACAAGTGTGGTTTATATGGCAGACGCCTGTTCTGCTGTAGGACGCTCTCCACTGTGACAGTTCACGGAAGCTAGGGCAGCCGGAACTTGGGACGCTTGGGACACCGTGAGGACAGCGACACTCGCGTTCGCTCGTGCTTTTTGCCAGCATTTCTACGGCCAACCGCCAGGATCGCGACAGGCAACAGCATGACACTCCGGCTTTTGTGACGTCATTTGTTGCCATTTGGGGACCACTCTTGATGTATGGGCGGGATAGGACGCTAAACACACCAGTCGAAGACGCGATCCAGGCACCATAGCATGGAACACACTGGCACGCTGGCGCCGTCTGCCAGCTTGTCCTGAAACTGCGTACAACTGGCCAAGTTCAGAGCCGTCCGTATATGTGGAGAGTTTGGCCATTCGTTGGGAAGTATAGAAGATAAATGAGGAGGCGCTGTTGGCCGAAAGCGGGCTGGGCGGGTTCCAGGGCGTCTTCACAAGTTCGAATGTGGCCAACCAGAAGCCGGAAATAAAATCCTGGCGGTGGTCGTGTAAAACAAACTTGATAAGTGCGTCGGAGTAACTTTCCGTGACTGAAAATATGGTGCACGGGATGTTTCAATCACGGTCATCCAAAACCACAGTAAAAGAGTGCGACTAGCGGAACGATCGACATAATCCGAGGGCCATGAATCTGCTTTCCAAGCGGTCACACTCTGTCCGAGCAAAACAGTGTTAAGCATCGCATTCGTTTCTTACATTGTTATGCAAGATCATGATCGAAATATCACGTGCACCCAATTTTCAACCACGAAGGGTTACTACACTTCCATTCTTACGCGCTTATTAAAACCAGATACGAACATACACTTTAGATTAAAACAGTTTCTCACTACCACCGCTAGTTGATTCTTTTTGGCTTCTGGTTGGCCAAGAGAGCATGCCACGCCCACTTTCTGCGTCTGGTGCAGGCCCTGGCTTTGCCTGCGCCTCCCATTGACCAAACTCTCTACATATACAGCTCTGGCTACATCCTGTTTGCTCCAGAGGGTACTTCAATATTGACTGAGAGACGATCTGCTGTAGGTCATATACTGAGCATCTGAAACCCCGCTTTTGTACCCGTTGTGGCTTATGTTTGATAATATTAATAATAAAAACAGTTTATTTTTATTTCTTATTACAGGTAATGATGGGGCCGAAAATAAAAGCCGCGATAGAAGGCTTGACAAGCTTTCAGCCCCAGCGACATTCCCTATCGAGCTCATAGAGTAAAACGAAACTTTCCCTCTCCCTTTTCTAGTTGCATTCTTTGTCTTTCGAAAGCTTATAATAAAGATACCACCGAACCATGTTTCCAAAAGAAGGAATTTGAAGCAGAAGTGGTGAACTGAAAAGGTTAGAATATTGTCATCCTTTTATTGTAACCTAAAAAGTAACAGTAAGCTAAGCCCTTTTTTTAAAGCTGTAGAATGTTTTGTTTTTAAAGTTTGAAGTAATTGTAGAAGCCGTGGTTTTTTTTTCAGGTAAAGGTAAATTACTTTTACTCTCAAGTAATAAAGTAATCTAAATTAGTACTTTTTACTCAAGAGTAATAGTAATTGACCACTATTTTCTTTTTAGTAACGCCTACGAGTCTGAACTTCTGAGGGTCTGGGAAGGAACCAATCTTAGAACAAAGCTTACCACAGTACGCTTCTTATGTCACCAGCTTGCTATCTTCTTACGTCAGGAACTAGTGTTGACTCTTTTGTTTTTCCTGGTAAACGAAGTCATGCATTTAGATAAAAAAAATAAAGCCAAGATAATATTGAAGGCGTCTGGATTGCCACTTTTCCTGCCACTTTTTAGATATAGGTCCCGGGGATCAAGACGCAAGACAGAACGAGTTCCGGAACTCCTCTGGGAAGGTAGACTAGAGTGACTCGCCTGGCCTCCTGGAAAACAATCTCGGGCTCCCAGTGCGGGTGCAACCTCCGGAGTTCCTTGGCCAGCCTGTTGTGCTGTCTTGCGTAGAGGATTTGCAGCGACGCGATGCCCGGCTGCTGGTTCACCCGGCCGTCGCCTGCCCGGAAGCAGAACTGATTCGACCTCGGGTCGCTGCAGCCGTCGGCGTCCGGGTTCAGACTCGGCGGCAGGATGCCCTTTGGCATGAGCATGAGCTCGGGATTCGAAGGGTCCCGAAGCGTCCTCAGGACCTCTTCCGACGTCCCGTAGACGATCGAGGCGTCCAGGAAGGCACTCTGCTGGTTCACCAGTCGCCTCTCGTCTGCACAGACAACGCGGTCGGTATACCCAGTGAGTGCTCGCACGTGGTACAACAGACACGGTGCTTACTGCAGACGGGATCACTAGTTTATCTGTGGACGCGCCTCAAGAATGTTTGCAGTATGTTTGCGTCATACATATGAATGCTTTCATTATGTCTGCAGACAGTTTTTAAAAGCTTTTTAACGCTACCCCACTCCCAACAATTTGTCCGTCCGTGTATTTTCCGCTAAATTTAAGGGAGGGGGGTGAGATCACTTTACGCGCCTAACGTCAGGCGGCCTGTACGACAATTTAGTTTTCCCCGCTAAATCTAGCGGGGACTTCAGCTTCCCGCGCTAAATATAACGAGCACATTGACGTCTTGTGGCTTAAAGGGGCTGTGCAATAATTTTCAGACTTTGGCCAATTAACTGCAGAAATTAATCTGCGTCACCTATAAAACGAAAATCAGAAAGCCGTATTTTCTTGCGAACGCTAATTCTTATTAAAAAAAAAATTAAACAAATCGAAGGTTCAAAGTGCGTCTCTCCTTTCCACGTCCTTTCAAGTGACGTAAGTGCCCAAAGGGTTCACGCAGTTTCCCCTTGGGTCCTCTCTTCAAAGACCAGCCGCTTCCTCCGCGATTGACGACTTTTAAAGGATTAAGGCCGTTCACACTCTTGCGACCGAGTAAGACCGGTTTTTAAGCCTCTTGCGATCTCTTAGGACCAGCTCCGCTGTAGCGCGTCCGGCCCTAAGAAGTCGCAAAAGGCTTAGAAACCGGTCTGGTCTCTCTCGGTCTTACTCGGTCGCAAGAGTGTGAACGGCTCTTAAAGGCCCGTTCACACTCTTGCAACCGAGTACGACCGAGAGAGACCAGACCGGTTTTTAAGCCTCTTGCGATCTCTTAGGACCAGCTCCGCTGTAGCGCGTCCGGCCCTAAGAAGTCGCAAAAGGCTTAGAAACCGGTCTGGTCTCTCTCGGTCTTACTCGGTCGCAAGAGTGTGAACGGCGCTTTAGCCTCGTCGAAGGTCGCGGCGAGCGATCGACACAAAGGACGGTTCGCCACGGGGCTGACGGCGAGTGTAGCAGAGGAGGGGGACAGGTTTTGTTGACTTCCGCGTATCTCCCAGAGACGGTGTCATTTTAGTTCCCGTAACCCCGACAGGCAACTGCAGATCAGAAAATGATTCGTTTTTTGCTTTGCGATTATGCAGCAGAATAGCAGTTTTTTGGGGAAAGATGACGTGTTTTTGGCCACTTGGGCTTGCCTAAAAAATATAAAAAATGCAAACTGTTAAGTATTGCAACATTAAAATCATTGCACTGCCCCTTTAAACACCGATTAAGTATCCCCGCTAGACTTTGGAGAAAAATTGATGTCACGTGACCTATACACCAGAGGGGTAGGAACTTGGCCAAGTTGGTGATACATACTAGATAATTAAAAGCGCTAAAAGCACTAAAGACTAGTAGAAGAACGACGACACCACAGAGCGCTCTGTGGTGTACGTCTCACTTCTACCAGTTCTCCGTAATTTTAACGCTTTTAATCCTCTTTTTACACCCAGTTCAGTTGCATCGGTAAATATAGCGGAGAAATTGGCGCCACGTAACCCAAGCGCCAATTCAATTTCTCCGCTGAATTTAGCGGCGAAATCGACGTCACGTGACCCGATGTCGAGTAACCTGTACAATTAAATTTCTCCGCAAAATTTCTTGGCTAAATATGGGAAGCGTGCGACAAGACAGTGGCGTCGCGGTGCGGCTCCCAGCTCAGTCGTTTGGCGGGCACATAAGTTGGATCGGTGCGCCCCCTTTAGGTGTCGCGCGCTTCTTGTAGACACATGAAACACCAATTCCTTACTCCCATTCCTTTCCTATCCTTCTCTCCCCGTCCCTATGTTTTTCTCCCCATCTGTCTTCTTTCCCCACTCACCTCCCCGCACTACCCTCTCTTCCAACCAGACTTGTGCCTATCTCAAATACTCTACTCAAGATACCGTATTTCAAATAATTTTTGAAGTATCTTTGTACCTTGCAAATACTTTATATTGAGAGTATTTGATACCGTATTTTAACTACATTTCTGAGTATCTTGTACTCAATATCTCAAATGCATTTTTAACATTCAGACATGTTCCGAGTTTTTCGGTATGAGGTGGCGTGGGCGTGCACGAACAAACGTGAACGCTCTTTCGAGCAACCAAAGCCTGTTGCTAGCTCCGATAAGCTACGGCGACTTAGATTGAGCTCGTGAAAAGATCGCTTTTGTGCCGATAGTGACTCATATTTCACCCCGAAGTTCGTACAATGAAGGTTTTCCCCTCGCCTTCCCAAAGGCACCTTTCGTTTCCCAAAGTTTCTCCCAAAAAATCCTCAAACGAAAGGTGTGGTTTTACGGAAGTAAAGATCGCCACACTGAGGCACAACCGAGAACGGGAAACAACCCACAAAAGTAATGCACACGTCAGCGTCAAGAAAATAACAAATAGAAGAAAATGAGAAGTGAACTCAAAAAGAAGGCTTTTTTGGGGGGGGCTTGTATTATTGACCCCGCTACGGCAATACCTCAAAGTTTTTTCTTTACTTATTTTTGTTTATGTCGTCAGTCCGATACTTATTGCTCTCGTGAACACTGTCTGTAAGCGATTATCTGACATCGAACCGACGGTACCACTTTCACGAGCGGCTTGATAGCCAAGTGGCACAACTTCCTAAAATAGCTAATGTACATGTAACTGGCTATAAAAAAAATATATCGACGCTTTCTTGGCCCTACTGCAAAAGCTCAGTGTTTTCTTTCTACTTTCTTTTGATACGTACTTTTGCTGTTTATTAAGTTATATCGTACCGCTATCAAGCCCCTCGTAAAATTTGGGGCCGTCAGTTTGACGTCTGTGCGCTGTATATCGAATTAATGTTTTGGTGTGCTTATATGGGTGTAAGACGACACCATTTTTTTAGAGTGTGGGAGGCTGATATACCCCTATTTGGCTGACCCAGATATGGATATATAAAAAATGGGCATAACTGGCCAGATATGCCTTATTTAAACTGATACACATGCTTTATCTGGCTAGATATGCCTAACTTTTTTTATAACCATATCTGTTTCTTTAATATATATAAGTCCAGATATGCCATTTTTGTAAGGCTTGATAAGCAGAGGACATGACAGGAAACCAATTACCAGCAGGATGACTTTTCAAAATGCCAACGAAACGTCCCCCAACGTTGAGTGCCTTTCTGAACGCAACCTACTTGAAGAAGGTGAGACCAGTGCTGTGGCTATTATGTGGGCTCTAATTTGTTATCCAATCACACATTTTCCTATTTCAAGTTCGCTTATAGTCAACTCCCCATATAGGGAATATGGATTGTACTTAAACGATGCGTCTAAGGTGCGCCGCAGAACGTGATATTCAACGAAGTCATTATAACTAAAATGACGTTTTTTGTAACAGAAATATTTTGTAACACGCAGCAATGATAGCCTTCTCCTTATAGCTGGACTGCAGAAAATAACCAAGCGATGATTTTTTTTTTGCAAATTTGTGTTGGCGCGTGCTTAAAAACCAGTCTAGTAAACCAGATTTGCGCAACTGTATAATTGTGTTTGTCACTGACGTCGATACACATTAGGCAATGCGGAAGTATCTTCAGAAGTAATTGAATTACTTTTCTAAGTATTTGTACTCTACTCAAGATACTTTACAGTGAAAGTAACTGGAGTAGTGTTTTAAATACTTTATGAAACAGGTATTCAGTAACTTAACTTAAATACTTTAATGGACTATTTTGTCAAACACTGCTTCCAACTTACCTCTCCCTCCTTCCCTTTCCCTTCTTTACCTTTCTGTTCTCATCCCTTTCCATGCTTCTATGGTACCCTGCCTTTCTCCTCCTACCCCCTCCTTGGTTATGTGACACATCAAATCTGTTTCCCGCTAAATTTGGCGGGGAAATACGTAACGTGACACAAATTTCCTCTCTCCTCCCTCTCTCTATCTCTCTCCTGAATTTCGTGTAAAGCGTCCTCTCGCCCACTCCACTTCTGCCTCCTTCCCCTCCCTGTCGTTCCTTTCCTTCCTACTTCTTTCCCTTTCCCTTTTCCCACACCCTCCCTGCTCACGTGATTCATCGATTTCGTTTCCCACGAAATTGATACAAATATACGTTCTTCACGCCCGGAACTAGTGTTTAACGACGTCTATACAATTAATGCAATCGCTCCTTAAAGACTCAATTTCATGCGTTATAAAACACTGAAGGTAAATTTCGCTGTCAATTTTTTGGATGACCAGTGTGGCACGAACACGGCCTTAGGCCCGCGATACACTACTCCGATCACAAAATATGTTCGCAGGTGGCGCGGTGCCACGAGACGCCATGACACCTACCACGCAGTAACAACGCTGCACCGTAACGGTACTTGCTACCGCTGAATGTAGCGCAAACACTTCCCCGGCAAGTTCAGTGGAAAACCTTCCCCGCTAAATGTAGCGGGAAATGAACCTACGCTCCTGTACTCGTCTTGTGACCATGCCGTTACATACGTCCGTGAGGTTACGCATGTCCGTGACGTTACACATGTTCGTGACGGTCCGTACAAGTTCGTGTCGTTTCATCTGTCTGTGACGTTACCCCCCGCAACTCGTTCATGTCGTTACTTTTTGTTTTCGTCATACTCTTAAGATCCTATAAAAGTATTTTTACGTTAAGAGCGATCAGACTAAATTGTGGCGGTGACGATGGTTGCAAAGCAAATAAAGCGAGACGAACTGGTTAAAGACAATAATTATAACCCTGGAAGCGAGAAGAAGGATCACGATTTATGGCGCGCTGTCCATTGTATTGCGGCACTCCTGCAATATAATGCATACAGATAAAAGACTAGAATGCATATTTAAGCTGTAGTAGACACCTAGAAATTAAAGCCCCTCCTCATAAGTTGAGTACGACGCTACGAAAACCCGGGGCGCGATAATTTATGGTCCGCAAAATGCTTTATTTACGACGCTCTTTGTACAATGGAACAACACGCCCGCGCCCGTGCCTTCCCCAAGGTTGCACATAAGTCTTGAGTACCGACTTGGATAACGTAGACAAGGCCGCGAAAGGGCGCTTTTTGTTTCGCAACGTGTCTCGGCTGCACGAACCCAGCACAGTTGCGAGGACCTGCGACAGCTACAATTAAGCACATGCCTTTGGAGGATTGACACCTTACGACAGTATCTCCGAAACAATGTGTCGCGCCTCCAAGAGGGGGTTGCAACAGATGCAGCGTTGACACCCAAGCGGCTTGGGAAATTAAATAGGAAAGGCCAACTTCGCTTTCCTGCAAAAATGTCAAAAAAAAAAAGAAATAAAAGCACAATTGCAGAGTAATGTTGAGTTGTATCTGAGAGTAGCGGTATACAAACTCCGGTCTCGTTTAGAGAAAATGCATTAGCGAACAAGCTGGCTTTAGCCACAAGGAACAGTCATTCCTTTTGGCATCTGTATTTGCCTTCGGAAGTTTTTAACCCTGTTGATTCACTCTGACCATATTAACTGTCAACTAGCATTTTAACGTGAATTTTGCGTGTTGCACACATTATACACATGCATTAGACACGTTACAGACACATATACACATTATGCGCTCAAATGAAGAAGCATGTGACATCTTTAAAAAAACAAATCGAGACGCAATATTAATTTTTTTTTTGTGGGTCGCAGAGTAGCAGTTGTTTGGGAAGCATTGCATTACAATGAAAAACAAAGCGCACCAGTAGGATACTGTTTTCTTTTAAATTAAAGCTACTCGTTGAGGAGAACGATAGAGCACTCTAGAAACCGTGTAATTAGCTCACATTTCGCGAAGTCAAGATGCAAGGGGTTGTCACTCCATGTCTCTGACCATCAAAACGTTAGACCCTTTTGTGCCAGAAAGTAGGATATATAAAAACCGAATCAACATATGGACAGCCTAAATATTTAGTTTTTTTTTGTTTGTTTCAACGTCATTGAAATCACAAATATGCGGGCTGAGAAAGAAAAAGCAAGACATTGCAACCTTAAACAACTAAAACAGTGCAGGAGTGGAAAAACAGAAAAAAGTAACAGCTACGTTCAAAACATTCGCACCTTCTTGTGGCGTAGCGAAAGGAAGGTTTTCCCACCTATCACAAGTTCCGCCATTCAAGATGGTGAAGACCGAGTGGAAAAGGTCTATACACCATCACAGTGTTCACAAACAAGCCCGCTTTGCCCACACCACACTGCGCGCGCGCAGAAACCAAACTCGGGAGGAGGGAAGCGTCTGCGCATGAGCAGTACCGACAGCAGCGCCACCGCTGCGGTGTGACGTGAGTGAGTTGAGTTAGTCTATAGACGCCGCGTGCAACTCACGGAAGCCGGAGCAGTCGGTGCACGACGAAGATCGCACCACGTTGAGGCAGCGGATGCCCAAGGGCACGAAGAACGGATCGTCGGGGGACAGCTTGATGGGGAAGCAGGCCGGGGACGCCTTGTCCCCGCAACACTGGAGCAGGGTGCCGTTGGCTGCACAGGCGAAAAATCACAAAATCCCTCCATTGAAATTACGGTGTCTGTTTATCTCGTAACAGTAAGTGAGGAAATTAAATTCCGGTTAGAATAATATCACCTTGGAGCCTGAATTATGATCGAGTGCAGATTAGTTGAGTGAGTTGAATGCGTTAGTGCCGCTTAATCATCCAAGCTGCCGAGCTGACAGTTCGGCTACTTAATAGATCGGTGGATGTTAATGGCTGTATTCTTTATAACGGGTGGTAAGTAGTAATGTCACGGGAACGGCCTAAAGATGTGAAATTTATACTTTGAGTTCTAAGAGAGTCGGCTTTTAAAGTGACACCGTCGACAGTGTCAAGATGTTTTTCACTCAATTAAGAACACCGTTTTTCATGTTTGATGCACGGATCGATGCATCTTCTGCTCGCCAAGGTCGATTAGCGTTTTGAAAACCGGTAAAAAACATACGCCAAAAAAAAAAAAAGAAAGACGTTAACAATTCCCTGTAATGCCGAATTAGAGCTCAGCTCTTGAGGAGGAGGAGGGGAGGGTACGGAAGGGACGGTATGCCCCTCCTCCTCATCCGTACCCTCTTCTCCTTTTTCCTCGTCTACTCTTCCCGTGCTCCTTGCCTCCTCCCAGTCTTCCTCCTCCTCCTATCCTCCTCCCTTTTCCTCCTCCTCTTTCTCCCCATTCTTCAACCTCCTCCTCCCTCACGCTCGGTACATTATGGGAAACGTCCCATAATGCAACGCGCGCGTCACCGCTGTGCATTATGGGACGCTTCCCACAATACACCGCGTAGTTACGCCGAAGGCGACGGCGACGCCGACGCCGCTCATACCGGAAACGGGCGCCTAACAGTTGCGCTCTAAAACAAGAGGAATTCAGCGGTAGGTAGCCAAAATTTGGAAGTCTTATTGTGCACTTTTATATAAAATAATCTGGCGGCTTCAAATACTGGGAATTTATGATGTACCCATCGTTCCGACGCTAAAAGGATGCTTTGCAAAATCAGTATGTAAACTTTAAGGTTTATTTTAACCTCCCCCCCCCCCCCCCCTTTACCTCCATCCTCCGGTCACCCAAAAGAATAAAAACTGCGGTCATTTTAATATCGGGCATGCAGAACAGTTACGCACAAAGAAAGGCGTTTCATTAACAATAAAATGTCGCTATCCTTTTTTTCTTTTCTATAGTTGTCTGTGTTTTCGAAGTGCTTATGTCTTAAATTTTAGAATGTGCATTGTCACCCCTAGTGACCTACTTAATAAAATCATCAGTTGGGACTTCGCTCGGGTGCAGACGCTCATGGACACAGCATGCACATAAGCTGCCGTTCACGTTTTCCTGTGTTTTTTTTTTGTTTTTTTTTGCCGAACGAGTAATATGTTGCAGCTGAAAATTGGAAGCAGAATCGCACCATCTGAGATGGGATTTGGCTACGTGAGCCTAAAAGCACCGCTGTTAAACTGTGTTTCACTTTAAAAGGGCCTTGAAAGAGGAAAGAGCAAAGCTAAACGCTGTTTTGAATGGAACGCCGATCAGTGGCAAGCAGGAGTGTTTAGTAACGTTAGGCTCATAACGTTATGCTCATGGCGTCGGTATTACGTACGACATTGATATCTAGAGAAGAGACTGCCTGAAAAAGTGTGCTTGACTGTTTCCGCTGCTTTCGGGCGCTTGATTATCGCTCAGATCTTCGCCTGAAGCAATATTAGAGAGTTTTAGTAGACCATTCCAATGACTCCGATAACGATACCTGTAACTCCGTCGCCACTTTTGCGCATGCATTCTATCGTTATCCGGTATTGTTATGAAGAATACCGGAGATATTGGAAGAATATACTAAAACCATTCATTCAACCGGCGGCTTGTCTAAATCTTCATTCCAGTACGGGAATCTCTGTTTTTAGTAAGGTACAACCAATGGGTGCGTTTTCCACACGCTTCGTCGGCGTCCGCATCACTCCACATCAGAAGTGAAAAGGGTGACCAACCCCGCAGGGACTTGCGCCACCACGCGTCGGTCGGGAGCTGCCAACGTTACTAGAGCCACTCAGTTGGGAAACTGCCATAGAGCCTGCTCTGGAAAAGTAGCGCCGATCCTTACCCCAGTATCGAGCTAATGGCGATCGCAACGCTGCGATTTCCCCCGTAGCGGCCACTCCGTGAACTGCACGGCTGCACTTACTGGTTCCGTGAAGACACGGAAGGGCCGGTGGCGCCATTTCGCAGGGCCATCTTGCAGCAGCCATATAAAGCAACTTTCATGTTTCAACTCGTCGCTAAGGGTGTCGCTGTTATGGTATTTAGCTCGGACTCGGTGGACGCCAACGGCCCAGGTTTCAAGGGCGAGTTTTTTTAACTGAGTGTTTTAGTAACGTTGGGAGCTGCGTAGTGCTGCCAGGTCGACTAGGCACTGTAACCACCTGGTTACAGTGCATTGACTCCGCGCAAAGAAGGGTTTTTTAAACTTGTAAATCTTTCGTTTTAATTTTATGGTAAAGAATATTACTATATATCCCAAAAACACTCGTATAGACGCTTTAATCTAGCGCCAGGCTAGAGCCCCATTGCCGACCTTTTCTTGTCTTGCTGAGATGCCGAGCCTCCACAAAGGCATTTGCTGGGGAGAAGGATACAGTATAATCTAAAATGGCAGTAACCTGTCTCGCTTTGGTGACGATGGAGTGAAGCGAACATAATATGAGGAAACAAAAACTTAGGTCGGTTACGGAGGTGCTCAAGCACTGCTGCTGGAAAGCGTCTATAGCTTGCTGCTGCTGCTGCAAAGAACTTGGCTCGGATGTTCCAGAGGGTCCTCTGGAACATCCGAGCCAAGTTCTTTGCAGCAGCAGCAGCAAGCTATAGACGCTTTCCAGCAGCAGTGCTTGAGCACCTCCGAGCCAAGACTCGGATGATCCAGAGGCACCCTCTGGAACATCCGAGCCATGTCCCGTTAGGGGGGGTATCGGAACCCGGTCTTACTTCCGCGCCAAGTGACTTTGATTGGGTTCTGCCTGGCACGCCTCTTCTGGGGCTATTTGCTGGTGAATTCAGGTATCTTTTTTCGAGGTTTCAATGACCGAAAGAGAGATTTTCTAATAACGGGACCGGCTCAGAGGGCAGGAAGTACCTAGGCTTTTGTCCGTTCCGCTGAGCAGACCTAAATCTTCCGTGTTGTGTCTTATTTCTGTTCTGTTTATCACGATCATCTTAGAAACAACTTCACATAAACATTTCTAAGCACACAAATGAAATTCGTTTCATCAACATTTCAACCCTGTTCACCATTTTTCTGTTCAGAAAATCGAACTTGAATAATCGAAACGAGGACGAAAGATTAGAAGCCATTTGTTTGTCTCGGCGTCAGCTATTTTGTGCTGCAAAGTCAAGTCTGGTGTAGCTTCCACAGTGCTATAATGCAGTTAAGGCTACTTGTAGGGGTGCGTGCGAATGAGATGGAAGACAAAGCCACGTCCTTTCGCAGCAGTGCTGAGCTGCTGCGTGAGGAAGCGAGGCTATATTGCGTTTTCACTATAAGTGTGAGCGTAGCAGAAGCTACAAGAGCGAGCCCAGGCCTTTCAGCCATCTTGCCAAGCACGCAAGCTCGTGCAGCTAGTGCAAGCACTGTTCAGGGACACATGTTTCCACTTGTAGCATAGGCTGCGTCTGGACTTGAGCTGAAACTATGTTTAGCCGAGAACGTTGCTTAAAAGAGTTGATTGGAGCATGTTTTTATAGGTACGTTGCCCCCATGAAGCCGTTGATGCGACCAGAAGATCCCGGCTGCGGGGGATTTTAGCCGCGGAAAAGATACCCCCTTTTGTTTTTAGCAAATCATCCCTGGCGTGGACGCCAAAATATTCCCGAGATAGACATCGGCGGCTCGCGCGCGTCGTGTTGTTGCAAGTGGTCCTGATAGACGCGCCCCGACGCCGACGCAGATGAGGCGCCTGAAAACGCCTCATGTAGATGGGGCTTTAAAAGCTACAAAGGTTACTCGCGCTAATCCAATGTCCTTCTAGTTTCGTCCCTCTATTGGTCTACGCCAACTGCAAAATAAAAAAAAATGGTGCACGGATTTTTAAGCTTTGCTTTCTATTTTCGTTCTAATTCGACCATTTAGTTTTCTAACCATAATTTTACAGCATTACTTGAGTGTCGTACAGTGGTTCAAGAGCAAATTTTGCAGGTTTAGAATAGTTAGAAACGCGTTGGGGGGGGGGGGGGGGGCGGCGTAACTTCATGTTGTGCCTCAGCGAAGGCTACAATATGCAAGTACACTTCACGAATTCTCGCGCAGCAAGAGCAACCACAAAAGCAATGAGCTCACCCTTCTTTCCATCGCTTTTGCTATGCATCAAGGCGGAACGAAGCTTAGTTGCGTATATCTATCTCTTTCTGGCAAAACGTTTTAATTGTGTTGTGTGTATGTTTATACAGCCGGAATTTAGTGAGCCGCAATAAGCATCTGGTGTCTCAGCTGTAGATGAGCAATTTAGCCAGTGCAGTACAACTCCTAGCTTGGGGTCTTTAACGTGCACCACGCAGTAGTACGCGACCGCACGCCGGTACAGTGCTTATCCAGATCGAAACGGGCAAAGGCTGGGATTGAATCCATGATCCCTGGATTCTGTAGCGCGAGCTTTCGCTCCACGTGCACCTAGCTGGTGTCTTCTGGGCAGATTTGATTGTTAAATTTGAGGAGAATTCGGGTTGTCTTTATATTTGCAGTCTAAAGCCTGGTTCAGACAGTTGCGTTTGACTGCGTTTGACTGTGTTGCGGCAGCGAGAAATCAGGACATCGCTGCTGTTTCTATCGCGTGACAAGATGATTCCTTGAATTGGATTCCACGCTTCATACGAAGCACAGATGTGCCGGTGACTCGCTTTCGGTTTTCGGCGCAACGCAGTCAAACGCACTCAAGCGCAAGTGTCTGAACTGGCCTTTAGAGGACCACCGTGCATGCTAAAGCCGGAGTCACACTGCTTGTACGTCATACAAAAGACAATCTGCATACGAATTCGAACGCGAGTCACCGCAAGATCCGTGTTCCCAATGCCGCATGGCAATGTGTTCAAGGAGGGAACTTGGCGCGCGGAGTTCGAACCACATATATTGCGGTGACTCGGGTTTTCAAACTGTTTGTTGTATGATGTATGACCAGTGTGAAGCGGGTTTCACACGCAGCGGTTTTGGCCCTAAAGTGGCGCGAATTCTGCCGTCGCGGCGCTCTGGCCAGCACCAGCGGTTGAGCGGCACGAGCGCCGCGACGGCAGAAATCTCGCCGGGCCAAAATCGGCTGCATGTGAAACACGCTTAACTCCGGCTTCAGGGACGTAAACTGAGGAACTTGTGTAAGATTGACGTTCCGCATTTCGCTGACCTTGACGGGTGGCCTCCATCCAGCCTTCCTATCACAACAGATTCAACAGTGGGAAGTCAGCCTGCCTAGAATATTTTCTCCTTCGTCTACGTAGCCTGGCTGTACGGTGTGCAAGCTCGTCTGCTTCTTGAGCACCTGGTACCTTTTCTTTACTAGCCAAACGGGCCAACATGATTTTTCCTTCCCGAGACCTCAACCAATGACGTCATAGCGCGTTTCCTGCGCATGCTCCATGTCACCCTCTGCTTGGCGTGCCCCTGGCGTTCTGAGGCCCCAAAGACGCATTTCGGAACACTGGCGCTCGCCATATGGTTTCCGGTAGGAGTGTGTGAATAATGAAGCGAATAGCGCAGGGTCGTCCCTAGCTTTAATAGTGCAAGGGGAGGCGGTGTGTCCTGGGGGTTCCCTACTACTGTGAAGGCTATGAATTACGCCGCTCTATTTGACTCGAAGGTCTATACTTCATTTAAATTTAAATTTGACCGCGGTCAACTCCAGGATCCGAGCGTGAAAAGTACATCGTCTCGGGGCTCGTGGTCTTTGTGGGTGTGCTATTTCTGGCTAACACAACGACACACAAAGAAAACACACAAAAAAGCAATCAGGATCATTACGCATTTGCTGTGCGCGATTGATGTAGTCGATAATAGCGAACGGACAAATGCAATGGGAGCCGTGACAATGGACTTTTGGTGCTGTTTTGTTGGCTCAAACGAACTATAGCGTGGGCTGCGGTCGGGCTTGAGATAGAACTGAGGATAATCGCACACCTCTAATTTAAAGATGTAGACAGTTACGGTAAACAAAAGGAAGCTTTCTTGCTTCCTTCTGACACGATCACAAACCAACGACAAAAAGGAAATGAAGCGTTAACGTACCTCCTCGGGAATCGGGGCTGAGGGACATGTCGTGGTCAACAATCTGTCCGTAGGCCATGAACAGGTGCGATGCGTACCTCTTGTACGAAGGGTCGGGAGGCGAAGTCCTCATGGCGATAGACACTAGCCGGGAGTTGGGGAGCTTGTTGCCAGACTTTCCACGGGTTCGCGGTGCGGAGACACCTGGAACGGAACGGACCTCTTCCGCATAAAGACGATAGCCGAAGGCGAATGCGTAAAATTACTTCACATGATACAATAAGGGTGTCGAAACTACACTGTTAGCAAGTCCCGTGTATTTGGCGAATATTTGGGGTGAAAAACACGCTATTTACACAAATTACCATAAATTTACACTATGAGTAACGGATAATTCGTTCAGAAATCATGCGAGGTTGTAAAAAACGTGTTTTGGTTCGGTCAGACACGCATAACCGTGTAGCCGACCTCGATAACACGCATCGCCCCCGGCGACGACCGCGGCATTGCCGGCTATCGAAGCACCGGAATGCTTGGGGACACACTTGGAAAGGACCGTCGAGACAAATGCCGCGGAAAGAAACATGTCTCGGAGACAGATATGCACCAAAAGCAATTGCGCCATGTCGCACGACGTCGGCGAAACTCACGCTTACCGTGCTCGCCGCCATTTTCTGGTCGATGGCAATGCGGCTTCCCTCATGTCGCCCATGTTTGTATTTAGTTTAGGGGTCCTGATAACAGTTTCTTAGACACCACAAATAAAGTCATGGGTCTAATTATTCGTTCCAAACAGTTAAAATGGATATAAAAAGCGTGTCCTCGATGTGAACACGTGACATTGCAGTTGGTTTCGTTTTTGCTTCAACCTTCAACTGCAAGCGATCTGGCCACGGCGCAAGCGCAACGCCGATGTACGCTGGAAGCAAGCCGGTTGGCATTCGTTGTTTTTGTTTGACCGGAGAAAATCTGACAAGTACGCATGGCGCCGCTACTGTTTTGATTTGACGGGACGCGAGAAGCTTCGCGCTTCGGAGTTTGCGAGCACATAGTGAAGACGTGACCGGAGAAGTGCCCCTGTGATGTCCCTGGAAGACGGAGAGTAGCATTCGTAATCGTCGTGTGTGCTTTGAAAGCGAAGGGAGTCACAGGGTCCACGAGTTCGCAACCACAAGCCAAGGTTCACGACAGCGCGGCGTTGACTTCGGCGATCTCGTTCTGTTCGGTGCAACTCGGCGATGCGAAAAAGAGCTGAAACATTCGTCGTGTGTGGTGCGGTGCTTTGTATTCCGGGTCTGTTTGAACCACGCTTTTAACACGGAGCGCAAATTGTTTGTTGCGTGGTGGAGGTTCAACGGGTACAGTCCCGTCGTCGTCAGCTGATCCGGTCCAGCTGGTCCGGGAGGACGCAGCGAGCGTTTTTAAAAGTAAATCTTCCTTCGTTCCGTTTCAAACTGTGGAAGTATCCCGACACATACCGTGAGTAAGAAGCAGCGGGCGTTTTCAACAAAATTACGTTGTTTTAATTGAATAATGGACTCCGGATTGTTGTCTTAAATCTGCCGTTTTTTTTTGCTTCGTGTTGGACTGCGTTTGCATAGCGACGCACACCGCTCGAGTAGATGATTCGGTCCTGCAACGAGTTTGTTGCGCCAATCATGCGGCGTGAATAAATTAGGGCAAGGTTTCCTACCTGCCCACAGATGCATGTACTGAGACCATTTTTTATGTTGTGAACGTAGTGCTCTTTCTTTATTTTGGAAGACGCGTTGGTGCATTATGGTACAATCACTTGAGAGTTGAGAAATTGGAGACCGAGCAAGCTTTCTCAACTTTGTCTCTTCTGGCACTGCCCTGTTTCAGTTTCAGTAGGCATATCTACTAGCAGGTACAAACTGCTCTAAAGCAGGTAAAAAACGGGAAGCTTAGGACGGTGCGGACTCCGTGTTTCGCGCTTTTCGGAATGTGACAGGGTAAATGCTTTTGTGAGATATGCGGAATATGCAAGCGATTTTGTTATGCCCGTCGTTTGCGTCTCTCCAGCAAAACGAAGAAGATGATTACTACAAAGGCGCAATCACAAGCCAAAATTTAAGATAGCAGTCGTTTGCTTCGGTGATCCGTGTAGCTGTATTTTGCCCTGCTCTCTGTAACACCGTGTCATGACGAAGAGCTGGAACGGTCACGGTTTGTGCTGGCCTCCCGGTTGACAGAAACCCGCGTCGCCCGCATCGGCACCGAGTGCGCTTGGGCTGTTGATGCTCAAGCCTTTCATCCGCGGCTTGTCGCCAGCTAATCCTGCTGCTCAACGGTGAGGAAGCGGCGAGAGTGACCTCGGAAGTGAATGTAAATCCTCGTTCATTCAGTTACCCGGTGTCAAAGTGTGGAAGATGTCCAACGTGTACTGAGGGCGGGAACTACGAGCGTTTTGCCTTGCTTTTATAACCGAAACCAGACCAACGAGATAACTGCCTTGCGTACTCTAAAATGACGGAAGCAATAAGTTTCAACAGGTCGAGTACGTCACCGGGGATGTAGGCGAGACGGTGCACACTGTTTAAACGCTTGCAGTATCCACGAGTGGTACCAGGAAAGCGACGTCAACAGAGAAGGAGCTCGCGATTCAGCATAATGCACTGCTACGGGCCCGTGTATCTTCAAAGTTCGGGGTGGTGGCAGTATAAAAAAAAGACGCATCAGCGCCCCACACCAGTGTTCACGAATAACACCGGTCACAAACTCCCAAGCCCCACCGCTCTTCTCGACACCGACACGACATACGACATAAACTGCATCAAAACGCCCCAAAAGTGAAGGCGTCTGCTCCCGTACTGCAACTGCTGCAACTAGCGGAAGTGAAGTGTTGGGCGGATGTCCAGATGTCCTTCACAAAAACATATAAAAAATGCTTTGCGCAAGGATCATTTTCATTTATTATTGTATACGTAATGACAAAATCCCAATAATTTGTTTTCCTATCTGATTCAAGCTAGTCGGACTGCTCATAACACTGGTCTAGCAAGAAAATAACAAAAATTTGAACTTTTTCATGACCGGTTTAAGATTTATTGTTAACATATCGTTATTTATTGCAACGGACTGACATTATAGATTTTGCCTCCATACTTTTTAAATGCAAACAGGTCTAACACACGGCTGTCCATTGCGCCGTGTTTTGTGTATTCTTCTATACATCTGTAATGGTCAGCGACCAAAGAGCTCACCCGCACATGTCAAGCTTATATGCGCCGCGGGGAGAATTGGATATCGAGTAGGAAGTGTCGGGCGTAGTGTCGGTTGTTGTGTTTGTGTACATGTCGGTGCTGTGTAGCTGTGTGCTATGTAGTCTGCGTTGTATGTAGGGTTGCTGTGTAGTCGTGGTCGTTCGCAGTGTCAACAGACTCGCCTTTTTTTTTAAAAAACAGGCTGCTAGAAATCTCGATAGGTGGCGCAAGTTACCGCCCGATTTTAAATAGTTTGCTCAAGTTATTTATCCATGTAAATTCGGCATTCGTTTTTTTTTTTTTTTTTTTTTTTTTAGCGGTTTGTTGAAGCTATTGATGCCGCCGACCGCCGACAACACACGTACGTACCTTTGCAAGTAGCTACGTCCGCCGCTTGGAGACTTTACTGTGTATAAAAGACATCGAACGAGAACTAACGCGCCCTGTGTGCTTTCAATTCGGCTGAAAGGCGCGCGGCTCGCTGGGCTCATCTCTCGCCTGTTCTCGGCCGCTGGCCACCATGTTTCATAAGGAACACGCTCGAAACGGTTTTGCGGAAGGCAGACACGGTGTGGCGTGTTAAGTTTACACAGCACCTCATGTGTAGACGAAAAACACAGATGACCTCGTGTAAAACCAGCACGTTTCGACGTGTCCGCTATGGGACAACGGTTTACACGTCTGGGCGTGTAATTTTTGCTAACAGTGTACATACCGCAGGTCTTGATGGGACTTTTGGTATCGGGAAAGACTTTAAAAGACTAGGGGAAAACACTGTACGTTATGGACAGCTGGTTGTTCTTGGCGTAGCCAAGTAACGCGAGGTAATCCTACACGAAACACTTTTAGAAAAAGGTGTATTCAATTACGCTTCACAAAAGTTCCCAGTTGGATCGAGAATGAATTTTGTTTTGTATGTAAACAATATGTACAGTCTTTTTTATTACTACAAAGTCAGCACCACTTTCCGTTCGCGAACAGCAAACGAAACAAAGATAGATGTATTTATTTTGACTCTCGTTTTGAGCACCACGCAATTATCAGTGACGAGGCTTTCTATTAACCTACCCTTGCTTGAGTGAGTATGATATATCCGTTGTCATATATACTGCAGAACCAGCGCTTTCACGATGTACGGAAAGTGTAGAGAAACAATACTTACGCACAGAAAACCTCCCGTTTCGGCTCTAACGGCCAATGTGGAATGATGTATAGCACCAATTGATATATAACACGCATGCACCTGGTAACATTTTACATCTGTGAGTCAAGCTGTACGTCCAAGGATCAGAGGGGCCTAAATATGGACGCGATGCGACAGAGTTAGCGCGTAAAATGTTTTGGCGCCTCGCGTTTTACTGAGCCAGGATATTAGCAAATGCACCATTTCATTGCCAAGAAGATGCCTAGAAAATCACACCCCACTACACTACTGATGTTATCAGAGTTTGCCGCTGTCAAAAAGAAGAAAGAAAAACGCCGTAGTTATCTTGTTCTAGCAAAATACTAAGCTCTCTATCGACCTTGCCCATTCAAGACTACACGTATGTTAGCCTCGCGTCGAGAGCTTCTTCAGTTTTCTTGTCAGTTCAGTTTTTACCTACGCATCCTACGTTACTCTACTGCAATTTTCGTACTGCTCATCGATCGTCAAGGCAGTCAGTCCTAATCCACAACCCTCCAGTAGCGTTTCGACCCGGCTCAATCACTTCATAGGATCAAGACTAGCCCCGTAGCACATTCAGTCGAAAATACACGAATCTTCTCCATTACTGAGGTCTTCGACGTCGCTATAGATGGACTACACAAGTAGTTGTTCAAAGTGGTGTAGGAATCTGATTGGTTTGTATCTGTCACCTGCATAATTGCATTAGATCAGGACTGGTAGCGAGCTACTGGCCCCCACCATCAGACATTTCAGACATTATTTGGAATATCGTCAACTATCCCAATATTCGGGTATTCCTTTAAAGACACATA